GCACTGAACTTTGTTTTTCCTTTGAAGACATTTGGCTTCTCATCCAAGAAGCTTCTTCAGCTCTGAGAGGATAGTGGGGAATGGAAGGATTTCAGTCTTCAAGGAATATATATCCTTCCATTCCTCACTGTCCTGTCAGAGCTGAAGAAGCTTCTTGGATGAGAAGCCAAACGTCTTCAAAGGAAAAACAAAATCCAGTTGCCTCCAGAAAAAGCATATTTGGGACATAACCTGATTAGCCCAGGGAACCCGTGTCCCCATGGACTCTGGAATCTCCAACGTCTAAAGCGACCCCTTTGACAGCTGTATAACTGCGGAGGGTTGTTTATCGCAGCGACCGTGGCTGGTTTCTTCCTCTTTTTCCCCCGTCCCCCAGGCCATCACACCGGTCACCCTCCCCTCTTGGCACAGCCAGCCCATCAGTTCCTGCCTCAAGGAGGCGGACTCTTCCCCTCTGGCTGGCGGCTGCCTGCCCCCACCCCCACTCCGGGCCACCTTTACATCCCTCGCTCAAAACCCGGCATACATTTCCTAATAAGGTTTCGCAGGTATTGGCCAGCCCGCGTTTTCGAAAGGGCAAACCGGGGGGAGAATTAACAAGGGACCCCGGTTGGTTTTTGTATGTGTGTGTGTGTGAAAGCGCCGCTGAGAAAACTTCACGGGCAAAGAGAACTTGAAATAAGGCGGGAGTTTCTATCTCGCTTATTACAACTAGCAGCCGCCGGAGAGATCGCGGTGAGTCTAGTCTCTCTCCTCCCTCCCTCTCTCTCGCTCCCTGTTCTTTTCTCCCAACTTAAGGTGCTGGGATTTCTATTCTCTATTTAGCTCCTGTGGCTAATTTGTCCTCAATGCTTCGGGGAAGAGACAGTGGGATTTTGAAAAAGATTAAACCCGCAGGAACAGCGCCTGGTTCCTAAAAGCCATGCGGCTCCTTCCACGTTGCCAACCGCATTTGTGTGTTCAGTACGCGCCTTCCTCATGAGGTCTGCTTAATCCTCTAGGCCCTAGAAAGACCATGTGTTTTCCGATGGTCTTAGGCGACCGCTGTGAAACGACCCGTTCGACCCCCCCCCCAAAGGGGTTGCGACCCACAGGTTGAGAACAGCTGCTTTAGGGAGTTAATTTCAGTGTTAGAAGAAATATATATTTGGAAGGGAGAATGAGACTCCTCACTTCATTGAATTTGCTATATTTTATCTTTTTTTGGTTTTATTGATTTTATTGTAATTTCTTTATTACAATATTTATTGTGAGTCATCCAAAGTCATTAAAAGTCAGGTGGCCGAAAAATGTTGGAAATGCAATCGCGAATCAGGCACTACTACGGTATGTGGTAGTTATGTAAAAAAGCAAAGTAATATTGGCAGAAAATTCAAGTATGGCTGATAGAGTTAACTGGAGAGGAAATAGAATTTAAACCAGAATTATTCATTCTGGGAATTATAAATGAGAAATATAGCGAAGGCGTAACCTACTTAATAATACATATTATAATAGCAGCAAGAATGGCCTTTGCCCAAAACTGGAAAAATGGAAATTCCACTAGAAGAGGAAGTGATTAGGAAAATTCTGACTTGCGCTGAAATGGATAGATTGATGTAGGAATTGAAGAATAAAGGTGAAACAGAATACTACAAGACCAGGAATAAATTTTATTGATGGTTGGAACAGAAAAGAGGGACCTAAAATAAGAAATGATTAGTATTTATAGAATGGAAAATTAGAATTATGTATGTAATTATAGCAGACTGAAAGTGGATAAGATAATCTTGAAAGCAATATAGATAGGAGTAAGATGTGTTTATATTTGTAAATACTGAATAGACCAAATGTAAATAAGCAAGGTTTTTATGATATATCTCTTATATTTTAGTATGTATGGCAAAGACAAAGCCAGGACAGTTACACTGTGTCCAATGTTTTATTGTGTGTTTAATAAAAATTCTTTTTAAAAAAAGTCAGGTGGCCTACATGTTTAATAAATTATCAACATCACCATACGTGATGGGGTTTTCTTGTAGAAATTGAAGCGACTGCACCCTAGAGCAGGATGGGTAACATGTTACCTTCCAGATATGGATTGCAATGCCTATCATTCATTAATCCTGAATATATTTGCAAGTTGACAAGTCCTGAGAATTAGCAGTATCTGGAAAGACAGCTGGGATGTACAAATTACTTTAGATGAAGAAACCCAGACTTAACCTCTAAAACCATAAACCATAGTGGAATTGCAACTATTTACATCTATACACAGAGACCGGGTTTAGCTTCCTCAAAAACAAATGTAAGCAAAGGATCTTCTAACAATGAAATCTGCTCTTGGAGATTTTAAGACTTTTTCCATTGCAAACCAAGAGCCAACCACAATCTCTACAGCTCTTATTTAAGAGCATTGTTTCTCAATCTCAGAAAAAAACTCATTTCCTGGAAACAAATAATGTAAGAATTATTACTGGTGAAACCTATTTCTCTTTCTACAGAAACCCATCCAGCCTCTGTTTAAGTACCTCCAGCAAAAGGAAGTCCCTCATCCCCTGACACAGTCTATGCCTGGGGTGTCAAACTGGATTTCTTTGAGGGCCCGATCAGCATTGTAGTTGTATTCCGTGGGCTGGCCAGTTGCGGGGGGGAGAAACAGGACAGATGGCAGATGGGATGGACACCT